CACGGACATCCGAGAGGCAGACGACGCACTCGGCGCTGTTATCGCTCACCTCGTCCTCGGCCACCTGCCCCGCGGGAGAGACTGGAACCACTTGGCCCTGGGGTCCCCAGCCCCCACAGCATGAGGGTGGGTGCCCTAAAATACTGTCCGGGTGCCCCGAGCGCTTGCTGTGGGGTCCTGCATGTGTCCCTGCGCTGCCTGCTCTTGGAATACAACCCCGGGACCTTACCTCTGCCCTCCGGGGGCTGGGACATGGGGCTGGAGCCATCAGGCACCCCATGGAGGGATGCATCCTTCATCCCAACTTCTACATACATACATATATATATCTATCTATATATATCTATCTCAGAGGGGGAGGCATGTCCCACACTTCCAGCGCACAGTGCCCTCCTAAGCCAGCACGATCCAGCCACCACACTCCCAAGGGACCACAAAAGACAGGGGTAAAAAGGCTCAAATCCTTCAGCTTTCTGCCTCTGGCAGCTTTGATGCCAATACAAACCAGCTGTATGGCCCCAGGCAGCTCTGGGTTGAGCTGCAAACTCTTGCCCCACGTGTGTTTTAGCTGCTGGACCTGTGCTAGGGGAATGAGAGAGGGGACGAGGGACGACCTGGGGAATGGAGGCACATACCTTGGAGCCCTGCGTGTTGTACTTGTTCTCGATGCCATAGATCTCCTGCAGGAGGTAGCTCACCCCATCCACCTGCAACCCCGTGGGGAAGGGGTGAGGAGCAGAGACACGTCCCCCCAGCCTCCACACCCCAGCCCTTCCTGGGGCCAGCCCTCCTTGCCCCCAAATCTGCAGCTTCTTTTCACATCAAGGCATCTGAAATCGCTGGCGGTCCCCGAGCTCCCTGGGAGGCAGGAGCAGGGCAAGCATTTGCTGCTCCCCAAAAGCCCCCCTCCGCTTCCCCAGGAGTGTGCAGGGCAGCAGCTGCCACCACCCGCGGGGACACTGGGACACTCACCACTTGCTTCTGCTTGAGGGGCTTCACGCAGAAGGTGCCATCGCTGTGCTGGAGGGAGGGGAGCCCACGGGGTTCCAGGGCCCGCCGCGCTCGAGCACCCACCGGCCCTGTAGCTGTCACCGCTCCCCCCTCGCTCCCAACCAGCCCATTTTCTGGCAATTCTGTTTTTTCCTGACACCCCAGTACCAGGCAGGTGTGGGGGTGTCACACACATTGCAAGGCTGGAGACTTGTTGGAGCGAGGAAGATGGATTTGAGACCAAATGCCTTGCTTAAAATCAAGGATTTGGGGGATATTCCCAGAATTTCAGGAATAGCCCCAAAATATCCCCAGCCCAGCAGCACCATCCTGAGCCCCGCAGGGTTTCTCCAGGCTCTCGCATCCGGTGGGCGAGGGGGTGGCATGGCCCCAGCTTGGCTCTTACCTTCTCGAAGGTGGCCAGCAGCACGTGGCAGTGCCCGGTGTGCTCTGCAAGACACAAAGGGACGCGCAGGGCTCAGGGGACACGCAGGGCTCAGGGGACAGGTCAGGGCCACGGCAGCAGCAAGAAGAAGCAGGAGGCTCTGCCCAGCTGGTGCAAGGGCTGGCACCGCAGTGCCAGCAACCAGGAAAGCCCAACCCAGTGAGGAACCCCCTCCTCACCCTCTCCTTCATCCACCACTGCCTGCACCACCATGGGGTACACCTCCCGGTCCAGGTCGAAGCCCAGCTGGAGAGAGACAGGAGGAGAGGCTTGGTGAGATGGAGCAGTGATGGAGGCTTCATCCCACATCTGTAACCGTACCCGACCCCGCAGTCGATGCCATGAGATGCTGGGACCCACCTCTTCCTCGCTCCACTCAGAGGGGTCGACAGTGTGGGAGGGCACGCAGAACTGCTGGCACACCCCCCGCTTGTAGTGCACCGTCTCCGACTGCAGGCTGTTGTCCCTGGGGATGTAGCTGGCCCATGGAGAGAGGACGGAGTCAGGGGTCCCCGTGCTTCTCCCAGTCCCCCCAGCTCATGGGGATGCCAGGAAGATGGGAGGTGGGGGGAGTTACACCTCCTCTCCCCTCTTGGATGCCTCTTGGGGCTTAGGTAAGAAATCCTAAAAAGGGCCAAAATAATCCACGAGGCTAAAATAACCCCAGGGGCTAAAATAACCTGGTGGGGACCAGGAGAGGCAACTATTTCTCCTGGTTTCAGCTCTGAGCTGGAGGTAAAAAGCAAGAGCAGGATGGGACAGGGAAGGAGGTGGGCAGGGACCTTGTGGTGGCACCCCAGGGGGTGAGGAGCCCCTCTCCATCCGCAGCACCACTGGCAGCTGCCTCCTGCCCCAAGGAGGGGAGATGCTCCGGGGAGGAGAGGCTCCATCTCCATCGGCTGAGCCCCATGCTCTGGCTGGGGGGACACACGTCAGGCTCGGGGGGGGACACAGGCCAGGCTGGGGCTCCTCACCTCGCCACGCCATTGTGAAACTCCTCGGTCGCCTGGTAGTAGATGGTTATGGCCACGCGGGCGTCCGTGTCGAAGGTGAACTCCACGTTGTAGTGCACCTTGGCTTTGCTGACTTCTTCCCCCGGGGTCTTCACCTCCTCCGAGCACCTGCGGAGCGCAGAGGGTCCGGGAGGTGGGCACCCCTCAGGATGCCCCAGAACTGTCCCCCAGCAGAGATGGCTCCCCCAGTGCGAGGTTCCTCTCGGCACCAATGGCCCCAAAAGGGGCTGCCCCCTCCATCAGGGGAAACTGAGGCATGCCAGGAGGGCCCAGCATGCCCAAGGTCGAGCCTGCAGCCTGAGCAGCGCCGCAGACAGATTTCAGCCACAATTCCCAACCTCCCAGCCTGGCCGCAATCCCCCGCCTCCCTCCAACAAAGCCTTTGGAAGGTGGAGGAGGAAGAAAAAGCAAAGCACTTCAAAGGCAGTGCTAAGCTCCTCTAATCCCACGGTGGAGCCAGCGCAGCCAGTGCCCGTGTGCGGGAAGCTGGCCCACGCTCGGAGGGGAAGGGGCACATCTGCACAGCGGTGGCTCGACCCCCTCCATCCCCAGGCGAGAGCATCCCTGTGCTCAGCATCCCCTGGGAGCATCCAGCCGGACCCTCCCCTCCCTGCGGCTCACGTCCCCGTCCCTGCCCTGGCCGCGGGACTCACTTGACGAGGCGCAGGGTGTCCTTGCGGATGTTGATTAAGCTCCTGAGGGTCTTCACGGGTTCCTGAGGAGGTGGAGCAGCATAAGGGAACTAGGACGAGAGAGACACCGGTGAAGGCAGACGCATGCGGGGGGGGTTACAGCGGCCGCAGACCTTGTCCCTGGGCTCCCCAGCGACCCAGCCTCGACCTGACACCCCACGCTTGGGGACACAGGGTGGGCTGTGCATCTTGATGGGAGCACACAGAGCGGGCTTGTTCCTTGCCCCTTTGGCTGGAGGGTGGGGGGCACATGGGATGCAGGGCAGCCAGGAAGGCGCTGATGGATTTTTAGAGTGCTGATGCAACATCGAACTACTGGATGAGGCTGGGGGAGGCTGGAGCTCCCTCCCTGCCCGCCAGCCAAGGAATGGACAAAAGTGTCCCTGTTTTCTCCTGAGGATGGATGGGATTTGGGTGGCAGGGTCTCTCCGTGCCCAGAGCAGGCAGGAGCAGGCAGGCAGCATCACTACGAGTGCGAGGTGTCGTGCCATCCACCCAAGGTGACTTTGTCCTTCCTGTCCACCTGCAGTCACCATGGGAGCTACAGGGTTTTCTGGGAGATGGGACACGGTGGCAGCAAGGGGACACCCTCTCCATGGTATTGCAGCCACCCAAGAGAGACCGAGGGCACCAGAGGAGGGACGTGGGACCCATCTCCCTCCTCTCCAGCCCCAGGAAAGGATCAGTCCCCTCGGGGGACAACACAAACACGTGTTGGAGGGACAGAGGCTTACACCAGGATCGATGCCGGGCGCATTGGTGAGCTGTCACCACATGCCACGGGACAGCCAGAGCCAGGAGAGCTACAAGTGCCATCAAGGCTGGCACCCACTGCACCCCAATACCAGGGGACAAGACAGCACTTGGGGACACCCTGCGGGGAGCCAGGTGCTCGTTTCCCATGTCCCAGGTGCCTTCACGTGAGAAAGCCACTGTCACCTTCCCTGGCCCCAAAGCCACTGCCACCTTCCCTGTCCCCAGAGCCACCATCACCTTCCCCATCCCCAAAGCCACCACCACCTCCCCCATCCCCAGAGCCACCGTCACTTTCCCCGTCCCCAGAGCCCTGCAGAGCGGGACGGATGGGGCTGCCCAGCCACCCTGGCTCAGTGGGATGGGAGGGAACAGGCAACTCTCAGGACCAGGCAGAGGCCTGCCCCATCCCTCCTCTGCCAGCCG